GTCATGCAAGACCGTTTAAAACTACATGTGCGTTACTGTACTTTTTCAAGTGTCATCAGCGCCCAGTCCCTACCCCTTTATCTTCATTAATTTTCATTTTTATTTTAATAAAATCGGAGTGAACAATCAAGACAAGCCTGAAAATGAAAATAAAATAAATATCTATTTACGATCCTGATACCTACTATTGATTTATTATTACAACTCTAAAATGAACTTGTAATTTAGTATAATTTCAACCAGTCACTGTAAAACATAGTGCACATCAAATCATCTTTTCGAAAGGGCGAGATTCTATGCAAAAAGAATCCCCCAAAACAAACAAACCCAGATCTGTATTATTGATTCAAATTACTGGGAGGAAACAGGATGGCACGAGCGTGGCGCACGGTACATGCTTCGCGTGGAATTGGTCGAGCAGTGGGTCTGGATAGCGCTGCTTCCCATTCACGTCAATAGCAAGGTTAGAGAGTGCGCGCTTCTTCCGGGTTTTTTGTGGTTTTTTTCGAAAAGAAATTAATCATTTAGATACTCAATGCGAAAAACAAAACATTATTTCGATACTTAAAATGTAGGCTGGAAAGCAAAGGAGGGCATTTATTTTGATCCTTGGAATACGGTAGCGAGAAGTTCGTGGACAGATCCTTGGTAATTTAATGTTGGCACACAGCAGAACATTTGACACTGCAGCTTCTATTACGACGCGTTTTCAGTGAATAGCAACTTTTTCCTGGATTTCACCTTAAATTCAAGTTCAGATGTACAGAAGAATAGGTACTTACGTATATCACTGCCCTTGAATTACACAGTTCTATCGGACATTTTTGGCCGTTTTGAGTTATTAAAACCATGTGACCAAAATATGTTCTATTTACTCTATCAAAATAGTAGGATTACTCAGAGTCCAAGTTATTTGAAGAATTGTGTTAAAAAAGACTGACATGATGTGAAAATCAAACTTTTAACGTCAAATGTTTCAAATCTATACATTCTAGGGAGAAAAAAATTTGGTGGCACAACTTATTGTCAAATATTTCCTAAACTATTGAACATAATCTTTCCAGCTTTTGCACAACGAGTTGTAGGCCTACTAATTTGTCTTAACACTAGTATTTTTGTGAACACCTGTTAGCTGTGTGCTAGGAAACTAATGAATAAATACTAATAAAAAATC